TTTTCCAGCCGCCTCGGTATTCGACAAGGAGAAGTTATTGTATATAACAAAACAAATCGAGGTGGGATGCTTTCAGAGAAGTTTTTTCACAGCCTAAATGTTTTGCTTCAGAAACTTCCGTTGATATAAAACAATCTGTACGCGGCAAGCACGTTTTCATACTTCAAAGCGGGTCGAAGTGAGTATTACTGTCTAAGTTTTCTCATTTACATATAATTGTTCCCTTCTTCATACAGGCTTACTGCTCCTTTGTCGAAGTATTGTTTTGAAGTCCTTCCATTTCAAGTGACTCAGCATCTTTGCGCACCAAGTAGACAAACGAAAACTGTTCAGTATATGATGCGTTTTCTTTAACGAGCGCTCATGTGAGTGTGTGTAATGTTTGCTCCAGCATAAAACAGCTGAGAGAAGTATGTGTGTGATGTTCCTCATGTTACAAAGCAGTTGGCAGCTCTGATGCTTTTCTGAGCCATTATCCCATATTTCCCACCTGAATAGCATTAACATCACCATATGGGTCAAAGTCGGCGCTTCAAAGACCGATTTTTTCGCAGCTTAGCTTTTTACAGCCTTTACAGCCATCATAGGCGAGACTTAGCAACTAACTCGCGGCGCAGTAATTTGTATAAAATTTCTTTGAAAGGAGTACGAGATAGTAGATTTTACATTCTACAAGTTGCAGCTGCGGTGGGGACAGCACTTGCGCGTGAACAGTTCGCCATAACTCTAATGAACATCATGTCCACATTTTGAGTGTATAAAATATAGGGCGCAATTTCAAAAGTTCATCGGTTTCATGGCTCCTTGCTGACATGGTGTGCAATGTGGAATTCAAAAAATTGGGCACCCTTGTGCATTTGCACGCATCATTAACCGCAACTGCAATCGACTTCTCAGGAAAAAGATTGTCCAATCGGTCATTTGCTTTGGGAAGGGATGCTGCAAAGAGAGAAAAAGGGTAGCAGGGTATATCAGAGTTATGGGTATAAACTGAGAGACAAAAAGGATTTGTTGTTTAGGTTTAAAGGACTGCACAAAAAAACCTTTTTCATAGATTTATATGCAAAAAAAGCCATACTTTTGAGACTAGTAGCCCTGTGGAATCTTATCTCGAAAATTATGTGTTTTTCTAATCTTCGCTATCTCATATAATCTTCTTATAGAGTAATTATGCGCTTACACATTATCAGTAGGGCTTTGAATGGGGTGATTATGAAACTGTCGCGATCCCCCACCCCTCCACCAGAAAACATGTTCCCTAACTACTTCGCTGGTGATGTTCAGTGTGTTAACCTTAGCGCAGTCGTTCTAAATCAGGATTCATCAAGTTTTATAGCAATTAAAATCAGAAAAAGGAGCAATAGGAAGTTAAGGATGTAAAAAGTCGCTGTCAAAATCTCCAATGAATCAGGCTGTATAAGAATTTTGCAATTTCAAGGAACGTGAACAATGATGTGATGGAGCTTTTGATCCTCATATACGCATGCAAGACATCAATGTCGAAAACGATCACAGTGATAATGCCGTATCTACCGTACTCTAAGCAATGTCGAATGTTGAGACGATCGTCAATACCAATGAAACTTATTGCCGAAATGATTTGCAGAGCTGGTGGGTGATTTGCGTTTTTTTTCGTTGATTGGTGAATTTTGTTTCCTTTTTTTGAACGGTGGGGGATTTGCGGAGTAAAAGTGGGTTGAAAATCGACAATGAAAAAAATTCCGTTCGCATCTCTTGGCAAAGCGGTATAAGGCAAAAATTTGCGACGCGTGGAAAATGCGAAAATTGGCTAGCGTATTTGAACTTTTTTCAAACATGAAAATTTTAGGCGCTTCTCGCTTGGTGTCGTTGGATCTGTACAAGAAGGAAATTCAGGGATTTTTCTCCATTCCTGTGGACAATCTCCGAGCTTCTCCCTTCCTGCTCCAGTACATCAAAGAATATGTAAATTAGAATTTGATTTCCATTTCCCTGTTGAATTTTGCTTTATGCTTCATTTGGAAGAATACTTAATCGTTAGGAGTCATTCACATTTTATAAAAGAGCGGGATTACTCAGAGAAATCAGCCTCACATTGCTAAATTTAGATTCCCGACTATAAAAACGCCATAATCGTCGCAAAATCACCGGGAGTCATGAACAAAGCCACTTCATATGCTGATCGTCTTCGCTTAGGTGAGTTTCTTGATTTGCACAGCACTTTTCTTCTTTCTGAATATAGGGAAAAGTATCTCACGTAAACTCTTTTCTACTTTTGGCACTTCCAAGTCATATCTTCTTCCCAGAACTTCTATATCAAGTCATCAAATGAACAGCTTTAGGAAGTGAGTTTTATATATAATACAGGGCGGCAGGTATGATTTGTTCGCGCGACTAAGTGTGTCTATATAGTCGGTGATTTTTCTCCCTATTTGTTGGCAAAAGAGAGTTGACGAGAAGTTTTGGATTGAATCTCTTGAGAAATGTTGGTAAATTTTTTTGGCGAAGTTGGATAAGCTATGACAGAAATTTTTGGTGAAAAAGTGCTGAGTGAAATCATCGACAACTTCTACCATGTTTCTTACTTTCTGTAATCACTTACACGAGTGACGCTTAGTCCCTGGAAAAGATGTTAGATAAGCGTGATAATCCTTATCATCGATATCTCAAATAGACCCCTGTGTCTCACATTCTAATTTTTGAAGTGAAATCAATGCACTAGTGAGGTAGACTAGCATGCTTTATTATGATGTTCCCTTTCTTTTAGTTGCTCTCAATCACTCACGATCCACTATGTACTTTACTATATATTCTGCTCTCGATCTCGATAAAAAAGCGACACATCCGATGTTTTTACATGAGAACGGGGAGGGGCAAATCACAAAATGTGTGGTCGCTGTTGCCTATTACCTCTCAACCTATCATGTTTGTACTGATCTGAGTGATGAGGTTGTGCCTGGTTTGAGTAATTGCTTTGCTCGCACATGTGGTCTGCACACACGTCAAGGGTTATATTTCAGGTGTGGCAGTAATCCATGGTGAACAGAAGGATTCTGAAGAATCTGGACTTGAGGACGGTAGACAAAGTCCTCCACCCAACTATGCTCCATT